ACACACACACACACACACATATATATATATATATATATATATATATATATATATATATATTATATACATGAATATAAACTGCTCAGTCTGGTCAATGTCATATACATTTTTTCCGAGTTGACTACTCAGTATTGGATAACCAATTGCTGTGCTCTTCCCTGAAGAAAACTATTTCTCCCACTCTTAATATTCCTAAGTTGCCTATAATTGCCTTTGGTTTTTTGTTTAGAGTTTAGGCCTCCTGGAATTTTTCACCTTTTCCTAATAAATTCCAGTTCTATTTGTTCAAAAACAATTGGAAGAAGAAGGGGAGGAGGGGGAGGAAGAGAGAGGAGAGGAAGAAGAGGAAGAGGAAGAAGGAGAAGGAGAAGAAGAAGACAGTGACAAATTTGTGCTTATGTGAGCTTTTCGTTCATCTCTGCTATAGCAGATAGGACAAGACATACAGAAGAAGACCTGAATGACACACTTAGCCATCCTCACCTAGTTAATATGTCTAGAGCACCAGCTGCAGAATATCTGGTGCTTCTAGGTTTGTGTCCAGCCCTCACCAATGCAGTTGTCTAGCAAAGTTGCAAGAGAACTTCTCATTGAGCATGAAGTTGGAAATCTTGAACTTTTTCTTCTTTTTTCTTTTTAAATTCTTTAATCTTTTTTTTCACAGTCTAGACTTTATCCCACTCCTGGTTCACCCTCCAGCTGTTCCACTTCCCACACCTCCCTCCAACTCCCTGTCTCCAAGAAGATGTCCCCACTCCCACAGCCCACCAAACCTCCCCACTCCCTGGGGCTCCAAGTCTCTTGAGAGTTAGGTGCATCTTCTCTGACTGAGGCCAGACCAGGAAGTCCTGCTGTATATGTGTTGGGGGCCTCATATCAGCAGGTGTATGCTGCCTGGTTGGTGGCTCAGTGTCTGAGAGATCCTGGGGGTCCAGGTCAGTTGAGACTGCTGGTCTTCCTATAGGGTTGCCCTAATTCCCAGCTCCTTCCAGCCTTTCCCTAATTCAACCACAGGGGTTACCAGCTTCTGTCCATTGGTTTGGTGTAAATATCTGCATCTGACTCTTTTAGCTGTTTGTTGGGCCTTTCGAAAGGCAGTCATGATAGGCCCCCTACCTACCTGTAAGCACACTATACCATCAGTAATAGTATCAGGCCTTGGAGCCTCCCCCTGAGATGGATCTCAATTTGGGCTGGTTACTGGACCTCTTTTTCCTCAGGCTCTTCTCCATTTTTGTCCCTGCAGTTCTTTCAGACAGTAACAATTCTGGGTCAGCATTTTTGACTGTGGGATGGTAACCCCAACCCTCCACTTGATGTCCTGTCTTTCTACTGGAGGTAGATTCTGCAAGTTCCCTCTCCCCACTGTTGGGTGTTTATCTAAGGTTCCTCCCTTTGAGTCTGAGAGTCTCTCACCTCCCAGGTCTCTGGTATATTCTAGAGGGTCCCCCAACCTCCTACCTCCCCAGGTTGCCTGTTTCCATTCTTTCTGCTGGCCCTCAGGGCTTCAGTCCTGTTCTACCCCCCAAGTACCTGATCATGTTCCCCTCTCTCCCTCCCTGTCGCCTTTCCCACCCAGGTTCCTCCCTCCCCCAACTCCCTCCTGTGATTGCTTTCTTCTCCCTCCCAAGTGGGATTGAGGTATCCATGGAAACTGAACAACTCTCTACCCAATGATAACTTGGTCAGAAAAGAAATAAAGAAAGAAATGAAAGACTTTCTGGAATTCAATAAAAATGAGGACAAAGCATACCCAAATTTATGGGACACAATGAAAGCAGTGCTAAGAGGAAAAGTTATAGCACTAAGTGCCCTGATAAAGAAATTGGAGAGATCTTACACTAACAACTTAACAGCACACCTGAGAGCTCTAGAACAAAAAGAAGCAAACACACCCAAGAGGAGTAGGCAGCAGGAAATAATCAAACTCAGGGACCAAATCAACCAAATAGAAACAAAGAGAATGATATAAAGAATCAACAAAACCAAAAGCTGGTTCTTTGAGAGAATCAACAAGCTAGATAAGCCCCTAGCCAAACTAACTAAAGGGCCCAGAGACAGTATCCAAATTAACAAAGTCAGAAATGAAAAGGGAGATATAACAACAGAAACTGAAGAAATTTTAAAAATCATCAAATCCTACTACAAAAGCCTATATTCAACAAAACTGGAAAATCTAGATGAAATGGATGATTTTCTAGAAAGATACCACATATCAAAGTTAAATAAAGACCAGGTGAACTATCTAAATAGGCCCATATCCCCTAAGGAACTAGAAGAAGTCATTAAAAACCTCCCAACCAAAAAAAGCCCAAGGCCACACGGCTGTAGTGTAGAATTCTACTAGACATTCAAAGAAATCATGAACTTTTAAAACTACTTCCACCTCTGAAACTCTAAAATTTGCTCATCTTTTCTCAAGAATATTAACCCAGTCCAACTTCCTCATTATGCATAGTTGGGGATACCTCTCTAACTACTTCCCAATGAAAAAAGGGCTGTGAAGGCATTTCTGATATTGTTACTGTGTAGAGTGGGAGTTCCCATCTCTTCCTGAAACCATGGTGGTTTGTTTAGCTAAGTATCTATCCCTTTCTGACGTCTCTCTTTATTTATACCCCACAAAGCAAAGTCTCAGCCAAGCACCTGACTCCTGGTCCTCCTCTTTCTGAATCATCTCTTTGCTCAGCCAAGATGAATTTCTTGTTTAGAGCCCTCCCACAGGAGTTGGCTGAACCTCCCAAAGTCTATGGTTTATTTTCCACATTTACCCCCAAAGTCACAAAAGATAGACATAAGATACAGCATGATATAATGAAATACTTCTAAGAGGATGCTGAACCAAGAGAAAATAAGTGTGGCTAATCTAGAGGTAAAGCAGGCACTTGAAAATTTTGCTTCAGATACTGTTTGATTGCCAGAGACAGCCCAAAACTTGGTTCCAAGAGATTGGGAAGACTAGACCAAGTCATTCAGTAGACTGTGTCCGAGCCCAAGTCTATGAATTCTGAGGCTTACTAGATCCATCAAGAGAACACAATCTTCCCGTTCATGTTATTTCTTGGCCCATTGTGGTATTTCCAATACAAAGTGCTATGATAAAAATGCAGACATTCACATCTCTCCACCATCTCAAGCATTTGGTTTCCCTATTTACAAGCTAAGAATCCAAAATTTACCAACCTCAAATGGTCTTTGTATACTTTAAATAAGATAATGGTCAGGTTACTGGGCTAGGGCCAAATTCTATGGCCACTTAACCCCTCCTCTTCTCAAAGTTTTTGAAAACATCAACAACATACAAGAATGCACAGCCATATGGGAAGTGAACATCATCTGTTGGGTGAAAAGTGGTATGGCCACATGATTTTGCCCTCCTCTCCCTGTTTGGAGCATCTCTGGATGATTTACATTGGAGAACATAGAAACCCAGTGCCTCTTCTTCCCTGCTCCCTCTTCTTAATCTAGAAGCACAGATTTTCAGTTTAGATCCTGTTCCAGTTTTATTTCTGTGGCTGTGATAAAAAAAAAAAAAACCATGAGGAAATAAAACATATTGTTGAAGGAATTGTTTGGCTTACAGTTTAGAAACTCAGGGTAGCTACTCAAATCACATCCAGAGTCAAGAGCAGAAAGAAATGAATGCACACACATTTGCTTGCTCTTGTGTAGCTCAGGGCCAACCTGCCTAGGAAACTGCACCGCCCATGGTGGGCTAGGTCTTCCCATATCACCCTAACTAAAGTAATACCCTGTAGAAATGCCCACTGACCAACTCAATGTGGACAATCCCTCATTAAGGTGCTTCCCCCAGATGACTCTAGGCTGCATCAAGTTGACAATTAAAGTTAACGATTACAGATCCTAAATCCATTCATAAGAGATAAGAATATCTTTCTTATGGCTTGGGGTATATAGCACAGCAGAGAATACTTGCCTAACATGTACAGTGCCCTGGGATTAATCCCTAGTAGTGGAATTAATCTCTGGGGAAACCCAGATTCTCTGTGTCTCTGGATATAACTAGTTAAATTAATAAGTTACTACATGGAGGCAGAACAGAGAAAGACAGAGAGGCAAAACACATGGGAAAGGGTTTGATCATTTCTTCCTCCTGCCTGTTCTACATTAGGTAAAAAGGACATGGCACAAAGCTTACAGTTAAGATTCAGTAAATCCTATGTATTTAAGGTTTTTTTCGTATAGCTGTTATCCACCTGGGTATGGTGATGCAGGTCTATAATCCCAGCACTTATGATGCAGAGACCAGAGAGCAGCAAATTTAAGTTCATCCTGGAATACATAGTGAGGTCAAGGCCAGCCTGGGGTACATTGAGAGAGCCTGTCTCAAAAACAAAATCTAAAAAGTACTATATAGTTGCTATTACTTTAATATGAAATAGTTTTCCCAAAGAGTATTATGTTCATATATATTCCAGTAGTTTAAGAAACTGTCTTATCACACCTGTTACAATTGCCTCCCACCACTGTGACAGTACACCTGACATAAACAACTCAGGGGAGGGAGGATTTATTTTAGCTCACAGTTTCAGAGGTTTCAGCCCATTGTGTTCAGAAAGGTACAGCAAAACAGAACTCGCATCACGGCTTGTTTTCACCATGATTTGTTTGGGTTTCCAGCCTGTGGGATGGTGCTGCCTAATTCTCTCTGGAAAAGCCCTCATAGACACACCTATAAGTACATTTTGCCAATATTCCAGGAGCTTCTCATCCAATCAAATTGACAAGATTAACCATCTCAACAACTGTGTTTTTTACTTCAGATTGCCTTTACTTCAATGACTGTACTACATATTTAAGGAAATATTTCCCACTTAATGAGAGCCAGGACTTACTCCTCTTCTATCATCAAAACCCCAGAGCTTAGTCTCAACTCTCCCAGCTATATGCATGTGGTTTGATACTTGTTAATTTTTAGGTGTGGCCTAAGATTGTTGGATCATCTTTGTGCCTTCCTGACTCTCCAAATATCTCCTTTTAGTTTTAGATTTCTGTGTTCTAGAAAGCAGGAAATCACATGTGAATAGTTTATTCAGCATATTATGCACAGAACATGTCTGTACTGAGAAGAAACACACCCAGCACTTATTTACAGCTCTTACGTAGGTCCTTATTTTCCTCCTCCTAATCGAAAAGATGGAAAGGATGGAACTTTTGAGTAAACTATCTACTCATGATGTGTGAAAGGTGATCTGTTGGGGTAATCTAGTGCCATCTATGTATCTATTCTCTCAGCTCTCCCCACCCTCCAATTATGAGATAATTTAGAATACAAGAGGCCGGAGAATATGACATCCTAGTCCAGATCTAGGATGTAAGTTTGCAGCCTTCCTATTTTCAAACATTGAGTCCATCGGTCTTTATTCTTTATTTGGGCACCACTCTCGACCTACCTGTCTTCAGTCAACCCCAACAAAAATTAGGAATATCAACAAGGTATCTTTGTTGTACTGTACAAATGAAAACTATTCAATCTATACAAACTAATGACCTTGGGACATAGAAAATATTTTTGAGTTTAGAAAAGCGTATCACCTAAGATCAATAGTGAGCATTGTGTTTCTTCTTGCATTGAGTAGTGTCGTACAGCAATCCAAACAACACTTCTTTTTCTTCTGTTGTCCAGCTTCTTACATGAAGATAGACACTAGGATCCTAGAGGTTCCGGGGACAGGGGAGGTGCAGCTCACCTGCCAGGCTAGAGGTTACCCCCTAGCAGAAGTGTCCTGGCAAAATGTCAGTGTTCCTGCCAATACCAGCCACATCAGGACCCCTGAAGGCCTCTATCAGGTCACCAGTGTTCTGCGCCTAAAGCCTCAACCTAACAGAAACTTCAGCTGCATGTTCTGGAATACTCACACGAAGGAGCTGACTTCAGCCACCCTTGACCCTCTGAGTAAGTGGGGCCCCGATTTCCTAGCCCTATCAATTAGAGTTCAGGTATATGAACTATATGTAACTTTTATTCACAAGAGATAATTGTCATTTGGAAGCTTACTACTGAATAAGCCCACCTTTTCTAGTTCTTTTTTAACTCTGGCTGATTGGTTCAACTCAGCTCTTCTGGATCAAAATTTCTCTCCAAACTGACTGGTTCAATGTGAGTTCTCTTGGCTTCTGACTGAATTCATCACTTGGCCTCAAACTAACTGGCAATGTTTTAAACTTCTGGTTCCTTCTCATTCTCTGGCTCATTCTGTATTCACTTGAAACCTATATCTTTGTAAAACTAACTGCTTCTCTCTCTCTCTCTCTCTCTCTCTCTCTCTCTCTCTCTCTCTCTCTCTCACACACACACACACACACACACACACAGACACTGTTCTCTCTTAAGCCACTTTTCTTTCCTGTCTGTTCTCATAAGAGTTGGGCATATCATATCTGACTCACTTTGTCAAATATTTCTCTGATTTGTCACTTTGTCTGCTCCTCAATTACAAATCACTTTCAAACTTAGCTGCTTCCTTCTACAAACTAACCAAATCTTCATGGTTTTGGATTAAAGGTGTGTACTAAGGGTTTGGCTGTGTTCCAGCTATAGATATTAAAGGTATGTAATTCCATAGACCTAGAAGGTTTTTGGATGTGATCCCTTGCCAGACCAGCCATGTTGCTGGATTAAAATTCCTCTCCCCCCCAAACAGATAGTGTACTCATATGAGGCATTCAGAAAGGTGTTATAAAAGACCCTTCATGAAGTCGAGATAGAATATAGAAGAACTACAAGGGTAGAATGGGACAAAGATCTCTACTGTTGAGGAAGAGTTACCACTGTTGGAGATGCTGCCAGAAGACAGCTGTGAGACAGCACCTCTTGGAGTGTTTCACCTGAGCAGCTTGAAGGAGAGCAGTATGTAAATGAAACACCATGACGACACCTCAGGTTCCCAGTGTCCTAGTTGTCTCAGATTGGCTGGTGTGTGTGTGTGTGTGTGTGTGTGTGTGTGTGTGTGTGTGTGTATGTGTCCCTTCCTCACTATGTGTTCCCTGAACTTGATCCAAATGTTGTGGGGACTCCACAAAGAAGATTGATCAGCATGGGTTTAAGCCAATAGAAAATCATTATTAGCCAGCTGTCCACTATACTGGGTGTCTGAGATCACAGTGTAGCCCGAAGCCTTTCTCACAATGAGTCGTTAAGCACAAAAATCATATTCTGAGTTGACGCACTTCAGTTAACAAGAACAGTTACCAGAAGCAGAATCAGAACTACAGAAGCCAGAAAAGCAAAGTTAGTATATTTAGAGACTTTCCTAGAACTATAAACTTTGATGGATCAGGTCTTTGCTTTTATTTGGCAGGTGGGGCTGTCTATGTGCTGAGTTTTATGGCCTGAGTGGCACTTCCTTTATGGAGTCAGTTGTGCTAAGGTCTGGGGTCCTGTTAGATTCCTCACTGGTCTTAGAGAATGAAATCATAGGCTCATACTATTTTAGTTCAAGGTACAAGGCCTCATGGTTGATCCAGTCAGAAGAATGACATGCCCAGTGAGTGCTAATAGCAGATAGTTAGCCAAGGGGACCAAGAGAACAGAGACTGGTATCAATTATCTGACTTAGGGTTTTCTCTCTTTTTCATTTTTCTCATTTTTTTCTTTTCTTTTCTTTCTTTCTTTCTTTCTTTCTTTCTTTCTTTCTTTCTTTCTTT